TTTACAAAAATCTTTTCGAAATAAAAACGATTGTTTAGGGCTGCAAGCGGGGAGTGTTGCAAAACAACATTTTATTTAATGTTTTAATTTAATAATCTATCAAAAAAAAAGAATTAATAATGCATCTTAAGTATGCTTGTATTTTGGGAATTAACGATCCACGGCATCGGTGAATCGAAAGTCGTCATCGGGAGTCCAGTCGCGATTTTAGCGCGACATTCTAGGTCGCACGTTGGTACCTAGGTGCCCGACGATTTACGTAATGCAGCTTCTTCAACAAGTGGATCACGTACCCGAGGAAAGTGCGTGCGAATCGTGCGACCGATTGTGCAGAGGCCGAAACGAAAGCGATCAAAAATCGACTTGAACCGTGCCGAAAGAATATCATTAGATGGCAATCACGCGGCCGAATATTCCAGTTCCTGTTTCTTACGATGATCGACGGTTTCTCGTGCTTACGAGACAAGAAAGAACTTCGTACCACCTGGAGCCTTCAGCTTGATTACTTCAGCGAGCGGCGGCTGCTGGAAACTCGAATCTTACCCGACCACATCGCGATCTCGCAGCCTTGAAAGGTACATCCTGCTTCTGATCAGTGTACAACGACGACGAAGACGACGACGACGATACGGCAAAAACAGATCCCAACGATCGTTTGCATAAAGTATCGCCGTTCGAGGGCACGAAGTTGGTCATTGATCCCGAGATCGTTTTGTCCCTTTAATTTCATCACAAAGAAGTCGGAAGTGATCGACAAAATTGAACGAAAACGCAATTATAAAAGAATTAATATTGAATGAAGTTAGTGATGAAGATTACTCCTATAAAGAACGTTTCAACATGAAATTATTAAGCGAAAACAAGAAAAATTAATACGAAACGCAAGTAAACGAAACGATGATATAAAATATTTATTGTAAAAAATAAAATGACAAGTAAATATCTTAAATTTAGTTATATATATCTTAAAGTTATATATATTGCATTGAATATATTTTCGCATTTTTATTATAGATATCATACGATTTGATTTTATAAATTTTTTTTTAAGAATTAAAGATTACGCTTTTTGCACAGCGAAAGCGACAAAGACGGTCACTCGATTGCATCAGGTGGATTAGGATTACATTATCGATTTGTACGTGTCGGCTCGTCTCTGAGCAGAATAATTAATTATCGATCTTCTTCTATTATTATTTGTTTAATAAAAAGATATAATTTGTAGAAACATCTATGAAAATATAAATAAATTTAATTAATTTTATTATCAATAAGACGCTAATAAATAAATGATGTTTTTTCAGTGAGCTTATTGTGAAAAAACAATATAAGATTCGGCAAATCGAAAGAGAAGGAAGAGAAGGAGATATAAAATACATAAATCATGTGACGAAATCGATATCAGTGCGAAGGACTTGAGCGATGACGAAAATTTGGCTCGATCCAGAAACGGAGACCGTAGTAAATCATTCCGGATACGCCCGCGCGTATTATACAACAAATCACCGGTGCTCACCGGTGGGAGAAGAGTCTTTGTTCTCGTAAGGGAAGGCGCCGATGTATAAAAGACATCGTAATGGAGAATAGTTATCGCAGTCTTCGTAGCGACACAATAAGCAATACCAAGCAGGCAAAATGATGACCAAAGTACTCGTAAGTTTACGTGAACAATTTAATATATACCTTCGTGTTATAAACATATTATGTAATATATAATACTCACAGTTGCTACAATAGTCATGGATATTTTGTGATTATAAGTAAATGCTTTTTTGTGAATAATTAAGTTTCAATTATTTTGACAATAGATATTTCTTACTAAAAAATGCAAAATATTTTATATTCGTATAATTTATATAATTAACTATTAATAAATAATTTTTGGTATAAATATCTTTTTCATTAATACTCAAAATATATTTATAATTTTTCTAAACTATTTTTATAATTTTTTGTATTAGAGTGATTTTTAAAGTTTCTCCCTCAAATTATTTGTAGATTCGGACATTTAATATTCATCACGAATAACGATTTTCTTTACAAACTGAATTTTTGTACGAAGGTTTTCGTCGCCGCCCTCGTGGCCGCCTGTTCCGCTGGAGTGCTCCCGGCGATTCCGGCAGCGGTGCCCGCGGCTCTGACAGTCGGTACCTACGCCTCGAGTTACAATGCACACGCCATCAATCACGCGATAGCCGCCCCATATCTGGCGGCTGCACCTGCAGCATACGCAGCTGCACCTGCAGCATACGCAGCACCTGCAGCATACGCAGCGCCAGCAGCATACGCAGCGCCCGCAGCGTACGCACCGTACACATCGTTGGCTTATTCTGCTCTGCCGGCAGCCTATTCCGCCCCGATTATCGCTGGAAGACGCTGAATATCTCATTTGAACCACTGAAAACCAGACCAAACTGACTTCGACCACTGATCTCGACGAACGACAATCGGCACAACGTTATTATTAACATATAATAACGTTGATTATTACACAACTTTTTTCGCATTGTACATATGGTCCACAGATCAATACAATATCTCCGCTACATTGATGTTAATTCATTTCCTGTTTTCTATTGAATCCTATTTCTCTCTCTCTCTCTCTCTCTCTCCTTGCGTCACGATGGCAACGTTAATCGACATTCGGCGAGTTGTTATTTCTGTCTTAAGTTACAAGAAAAAAAGCACATTAAATATAATTTAACGTAACAGAAAGAGACTCGTTATGTATAAAGAACCAATCTACGAGGCAATTGAGGAGAAATTACTCGACGAATCTTATATTTCTAAGGATAAAAAAAGATTGTATTTAGGACGAAGGGTGATTCACAATATCAATTTGGTTTAGTCACTGTCATGTTCTATTAATATTACTTACAATATTAATATGTCAATAAACCTGATACAAATATATTCTGTGCCACATTTTGTACTCATTGTAAACATTTCTTTTGAATTTTTCCTTTTGTAAATGTATATATATATATATATATGTATTTATACCTTAATAGATGTACCTCGTTTGTTGTCCTTACATTATGCACAATGTACAAACTATGCGTTCAAATAAAAGTCGCTATAAAAATGAGAGTAAAATGGTAACTATCCTTAATGGCAGAAGCATCGTAAAAAAGTCTGTAGAGATTAACGAAACAGAAAATGGTCAAAACACGCAATCCTTACACAAACAGTGATTGTATAAAACGTAAGTTTCAAAACATGTCTTTCCGTGCACACGAGTGAAGCGTAGTAAAATAATCAACGTAAAATGTAACGAAAACGAAGCAGAGGAAACCCTCTGCTTTTCTTTTTTTCTTTTTTTTTTTGAATCGCTATGTTCAGCTAAAAGTTGCGTATACAATATATAACAATGAGCGCCTTCCGATTTGGCACAAAAGTTACGATATTTTTAGATCTTTGGTTTCGATAAATGGCTCTAGCGGACGTAAATCTAGAAACCTGGAAGCGATACGAAAATCAACGTGGATGATTGCACGGATGAGAGCGTGCGTTTACGTATCTGTATGATAAAATACGTCGATATGAACAAATATATACATATCTTTCGAGAAATACGTTGATATTGGTGTATATTTCAAGCGTAAATAATGCCTAAGTAACGCAATGTAATGCCATTGTGAGTCGGGTTTTATAAAATAGAAATTTCAATGTCGCGTCTCGCTCTCTCTCTCTTTCTTTCTCTCTTTCTCTCTCTTCAATAATGGAATACACTGATATCACTAATCTTACTAGATGAATCAATGAGAAAACATAGGGTTGCAGATGAAATTCGCACGATCTCGAATTCGCACTCGCAATAAATACACGTACTTGGACAAAATCCTCGCGATCGGCGAGATACTCGTAACGTAATGCCGCGCTAATGCCGCTATGACATATATAATGACTAGAATAAAAATGTGAACGTTACAATCTGTTATCACCATGCAGATATACTTACGGTTACCGCGTTAGGCATCTTGATTGAATTATTTCACTTAATATTAGCATCCCAGATAGCAGACACGGTTGCATTACTTTTTACATTTATACAAAAGACGACTCGAACGACTCTATTATTTGATTAAGAGAGCGTGTTCAAATAGATTTACATTATTTGTTAAGGTATTGCCAGAGCACGGAGCGACAATCGCCGAAATCGCTTCACACGCCTTCCGCGAAGGACTTGTAGTAATTTCTAATCTAATTTCTAAATTTCTAATCTCGTTTGAAATGATTCGCGCAAGAATACTATCTGGGATGTTGCCGTTATCACCAAAGCCACGTTTACACGAGTATTTCACGATGGAGTATAGATCCGAAATAGAAGAATATAAGCTAGGAGCTAAGTAACAACTTTTTAATAATTGTAATTATCACGGACGTGACGCTGGATCACGATGTATCTATTTTCTCGTTCTCCTTCTTCTATTCTCAACGACCACTCTACAGACGATGTACTCATCACACACCATACTGTTCTGCAAATACACTTACGCTTATTGGAGAAAGGTAGATAATAAATAAATTTAACAACTATATTACGGATAAATTAAGTTTCCTCTACATCGATTCGCACTATCATTTATGGAATAAATTTTTCTCCATAAAATCTCGCTACTTGATTTTGTTAAAAAAATAACATCCGCTCTTTCTCTCTTTCTCCCCCGCTTTCCTTTTTTTCTCTGAATGTCATGGATGTGTCGTGCACGCTATTGTGCATATTTCCCGTGATAAGCAACGGCACTAAGATCGATCGCTATGTGTATTATTGATTTTTTTTATTGATGTTTTCTTGCATCGAAAGTTTCCCTTTTTGATCGCTGTCTAGCTTCTCTAATCGCGTCGCGATTCTTCGTATTCTTCGATTTGAATATTGAACCGACTCCGCGAGAATAAAAGTATCACTGTGCGCTACTTCACAAACGACATATGAAAATGGCAGTTTCTATCCGCGAATCCGAGTAATGATATCACAACGTAAAACAGCGTGCGCATTTAAACTAGTAATAATCTCGAAGTAAACTCACTTGTGGGTGAAAGTAACTACGAAAAGGATTCGCAGACGTCCGAAATAAGAATCGCCGAGGAGACACGTTGGCTGCAAAGTTCCGCCACATCGGCGAACATCGACGACGATTAGTAATAACCGGGATAATGATGATAGCCGGATCTCGGTGGATGATACGGCGCCGGACTCACAGCGTAACTAGGATTGTATCCCGGCAAAGGAGGCGGAGGCGACAATATCCGACCCTCGCCGGCATCGGATACCGTCCCTACGGGCACTACGTGCATCGTGGTCGAGCCGGGCGGTTGCGGGCTGGTGATGATGCGCGTGCTGGATCCATGCAGATGATGCGATCTGGCGAGGCTGAGATCGACGGTATGTCTGCCGCCGGGCGTGAGATCCAGACTGACCACACGCAGAACGTCGCCGTGCGGATAAGGTGGCGGCGGCGGTGGTGGCGGCGGTGGCGGCGGCGGCGACATGGAGTAGCCGCCGGTTCTGCTCAGATCGACGGTCTGCCGCTCGCCGATATCGTACAGATGGTGATGATGATAGCGCGTGTTTTGCGCCACTGGCGCGCCGAAGCTGTGAAAACCGCGTGCCGACATGTCCAGACCCTGAAGTTCGCCGCTGTTCAGCACCAGCGTCGGCTCGAAGTTGGATCTCTCCCGGACAAAGTCCTGCTCAAGCTCGTACTTGTAGGACGTTGAGGACAGATCCAGCTGCAGCGCCTTCTCCTTCACGGACAGACTGAGATTCTGCACCACCGACTCACCCTCGTCGCTCGACAAGTTGTCCGTGCGCACTTGATGATGGTGATGATGTACATCTTGGTAGCGCGGCGGATTCGGCGTGGCCGATGGCGACACCAAGTCCTCCTGCTGCTGAATGTAGCTGTCCAGGTGATTCGGCGATCGTGACTGCGGTATCGGCGACTGCAGCTGATTGTGAATGTAACTTGGCGACGAGACACGCGGAAGCTCCTCGTGATGCAGATACTGCTCGATGTTGTGTGTGCGCGAGGCGTTGATGTATTCGACCGGCCGGTGGAGATGATAATCCACGTGCAGATGACTAGGCGGTGTGTGCCGATCGTCCGACGGCGGCGCGGGCGACATCAGACCCTCCTGTTGTTGAATGTACGAGTCCAGATGATTGGGCGACCGCGACTGCGGTATCGGCGACTGCAGCTGACTCGAGATGGTGTACAGATTAGCCTCGCGATCGTTGTCCTCCAGAATTGGACTGGACACCGCGCCTATGTCCCTCTCAGCGGCGTCCAGAGCCGCCTCGACCAGCAGACTCGCATTCGCGCTCTCCGTCCGGGGATACACGCTCAATCCACTCAATTTGTTGCTGTCTATCAGACCCGTTGTACTGGTGCGCGAGATCGTCTTCTCGCTGTCGCTGTCCTTTCTGTCTTCGAAATCGTAAACGTCAGATGACGGCGCCGAGACTGCCGGTAAATGAGTTGGTGTGATCGTGGCGATGTCGGACGTAGACGGTGCGCTAAACTCGCCTAACCACTTTTTGCTGCCTTTACTCTGCATTCTCGATGTACCGTACAAATCGACCTCCGCCCGGACATTTTCCATCGTCGCGCCGTTCAGTCCACCGGATAGAGATGTGGTCGTTTGCGACAATGGAGTCGGCACCTGGACAGCGAGAGATGTGGTCGTTTGTGGTAATGGAGTCGGCACCTGAATGGCGATCTCCTGTTGTTCCGCACTCGTCTCGTTCTGAAATGAATTTATGATGGTGTTGTGAACGGATTTCGCCGTCGGTGCCTCGACTCTCGAGTTGCTCTCTGAGCTGCAGTCGTCCAGAGATGGCAAACTGTTGCTGTTATCCTGTAAGAAAAATTATATAATTATAAAATTGTATTAATTATATATATAATACTGCTATGAATCATGTCAATTATATAATTATAGATGTTTATATGCAAATTAAATATATTGTTCGAGCACAGGTAGGTGTTCGCACAATTTGGCGGTGATCACGCTGCGTCTAACCGGCGAGTATATTGGACACACATAAGGCCAATCACAAATTCGTTTACAAACGTTTCGCAGCCATGTGATTAAGCGCGCGGTCGTTACGTGGCTTTAGCAGGGGAAGGCCACGATTTCGAGCCCCGCCTGACTACTATTCATTTAAGAGGCTTCTAGTCAAGCTGTTTTCGGAACTCGGGCCGAATTAGCGAAGGTTCCCATTTGAGTACTCCGAGATTCATATTGTTCAAATCTTGTCTATCCCGTCGGTTCTGCGTGTAAAGTGTGTGCGCGAATAAAACAGCTAAGCCAGTCCAGTGGAATTTCTATTTTCTTAACACCATCCCCAGAAACCCGCTCCGGCGAAACAAAAAATAAGAAATGTTTCGATAATATCGAAGGTGTCGCGACATATATAATACATGAATAAAAAATAATTTACAAATACAATTTTTTCATCTCTTTTTAGACAAATAATGAGAGTACGTGATTATTGCTGATTGCTCACCTGTGAATTTCTTCTGCTGGTGTTTGCAGTGCTTCCGCATGAATACTTTCGCACATCTTCAATGAGACCACCGCTATACGCGTCGAAAGTGTACGCCACGGATCTCTCAATCTTGGGCATCCTATCCTCCGTAAGACCGTGCACTTTTTTGTAATGGAATTGCAGACACTGCTTCGTGGTAAAAGCTGCCCTACATCCGTTTTCTTTAACACCTGAAAAGAAAAAGAAACAACAATAAACATATAAATTTGATGAGCGAGGCTGTGGCCAAAAATCAATGAAACTTACTTAAATGGCTTCACGCCGCTGTGGGTCAACATATGTATCTTCAAGTTGCTCTTATTCTGAAACATCTTCCCACATCGATCGCATGTCGCCGCGGCGATGACGTCTTTATGATGGACTTCTTTCATGTGCCGCTGCAGAGCTGCGCGGGAACCCAAGAGCTTTAAGCATGCCTTACATTGAAATTCCTTGAGCACTTCGGACATATCTGCGGAAAGACATATTCTGTTAATATAGCGCGATAGAAATAACAAAATAAGTATAATATAATAAAGTAATAACGATAAATAACTAGAAACGTCAACCGTGCGCTCATACCGCTATGCATCCTCTTGATGTGCACTTTGAGCTTCTGCGGCTGACAGAACTTGCGGCCGCAGAAGTCGCACAGCGGACGCGACCGCTGCGGATTTTGCGCGCATCCGTAAGTTCGATGCATTTCTAGATAATTCAGTCTCAAGAAGAACTTCTTGCAGTATTGACATTGATAAGCGCCGCGGCCCGAATGCAACTCCGCCGCGTGTTTCATAATGTTATCTTTGCCGAGCACTGCGGCGCCGCAAACCTATGAGAGAATTCAGTCAAGAATGTAATAGCGCGATTAATTGTTCATTCATAAGAATGATTAAACACGCGAAAAATACCTTGCAATGGTATTTCCTTATCGTCAAACTGTAATTCGTGTCGTGAAAGATGCAGCAGTGCAGCCGGTAATATAATGGGTGTGCGAAGTTAAGATTGCACCCTCCACAATCTGAAAACAATGTGAGTATAAAAAAATCATGTCAAATAGATATTAATTATTACAGAATGTTTAATTCAAAGAAAAACATCGTCGAAGAGACAAGAAAAATTTGACAAAAGTTTTGATAAATATTCCTAAGATTTCAAGATTTTCCAAGATTTTTCCAGATAGTAGAATGTTAGCTTAGCAGAAAATTCACTTACTCGTTTTATCTATCTTATTCTTTCGCATCCACGGTGGCGAGTCCGTCCAATAAGTAAGCTCCATCCCTGATAAAATGCTCATCGTCGTGATGAGGTGCAATTGGCCGTGCTTGGTAACCAGCGTGACGCTCCTCTTCTCCTTCGTCTCAGCTGGTCGTAAGTATCGAATCCAATTGCTCTTCAGCGGATCTGTGGTACTGATGAATGCACTCTTTCCATTATTATCTATCTAAAAAGAAACAAATTCTTTCCCATAAAAATTATTTTCATTACACGAGCGTGTGTCGGTGCATTATGAGCAATCGGAGGAATGATAATACCTCCCAAATGTGGCGCATTGAGAAATCGTCCGGAATGTCCATTTCTCGGACCGGCGTGCCGACAAGCGGCCCCAGTTTCGCGTACATCGGGACCGGCTTTTTGGCGTAGATGCCGAGACCGTGATCGGTGTTCGTGATCTTCAGCTCGAAGCAATCCGGCAAGGAGTCCCTCGCGTATAACGGCCGATCCGCGTCCACCACCAGTTGTTTCTCCTCTCTCTGCACTTTTGATTTGCTCTTGCACTGTTCGCCGGACGTCAACGACTCGTCGTCCGACTCGAAATTGTCGTCCGTCCGTGGACGGCCGTATCCCTCCGACATCGGATCCACCGACCTGACGGCCTTCATCATCTCTGTGTTCTTTTTGTGCTTGTTCAGCCACTGGTCGTAAGAGATCGTGTCGACGATCGTGTACTGCGGGCACGTCAGGGGACACGCGTCTTGCAGATGACGACTGTTGCACTCCTGACACAGCTTGATCTTGATCGCAAGTCGCTGCGGCTCAGTTATGACGCTGGTCTCCTTCGCCTCTTCGTCGGTCTTTCCAGATCCGCCCGTCGACGACTCGGACTCGCCCTCCGGAGCTGGCGCATCTTGTGCGTGATTCTCCTCTTTGACGATGCCATCCTGCGGCGCCTTTCGCACGTCGTGGTACTTCTTGGTTCGATGATCGTTCGTGTGTTTGTGCTTCTTTCGCCGGTGCTTGAACGCCGCCTCGTCCGAAGTGTTATTCTTGGCGGTGTCATTCGCGACATTCTTCTCTCGAACTTGCGCGTCGTGCCGCGGTCGTTTGCGTTTTTTCTTCAGCTTGCGATTCTCCGCGTCCTTCGACTCGCCGTTTTTCGACGCGTTGCCGGACGTTGCGTTCTTGTGTTTCTGCGATTCTACGTGACGCGTCGCGCTTGTCTTGCTTTTTTTCTCAGATTCGTCCGCGACTTGTGCGTCCGCGACTTGTGCGTCCGCGACTTGCGCCTCCGCAGGATCGTCGGGGAATGCAGGATTTGAATATTCTACGTCCTTGTCCGAAACCTCGGTGTCGCAGGCGCGCTTTGGCACAGACGACGCCGTCGCGTCGCCAAGCTGCAGGTCGACGGTTCTATTATCCTCTAAGGTGTCCTTCGCTGATTTGCCGGACGCGCCGTCCGTGGCTTTCGCGTTGCACCTGATATTGTCGCTACTCGTCGTATTATTTACATCGCTTATAAATCTTACACTACCTACGTCAGTCTTGGTCGTGGCGGATTCAACGTCCTTTGATCTACTGATTCCGGAGCTCTCTACGCCTAACTTTAACTTTGCGCTCGATTCGCTGCTTGCCATCGTCGTCTCGCAATTGCTCGGCTCTTTGCTCTCCACCAAACCGTTTTGCGCGTCTGACGCGTTCTCGCTGATGCGCTCGGATTCCTGCGATCCTGCGCAGGTATCCTCGGTGGTACCGTTTCTCGAGTGACGCCGTTTCTTCCGCTTGTCCTTGTGATGCCGCGTCTTGCTCTTGTGATGCTTCGACCGCGAACTGTGTCGTACGTGTAACTTGACCACGTTCTCCGGCATCTCAGACGGCACGCTCTCACTTATCGCATCAACTGGATGCGTCTCGGCGGTGTCAGATACAAGATTATCTTGCTTATGCAAACTCTTGCGAATACCAGACTTTCCCTCCTCTTCTTCTTTCTCGTTCGAGTTTTCAATCTTGACAGCTTCCTCATTGTGATCCTTGACCGGCTTTGAGTTCTCTGCTCCATTGCACTTATCTTCTTGTCTGCATATGTGCGTTATGCGTATGTGACTGCACATGTGCCTGCATAAACAAAAATTCAGATATGTTAGAATTTTATTCGAGTGTTCGTTTTGTATCTGTTTGAATGATACATTTTTGTTTGAAATATACTCTCGCAATTGTTACGTACATCAAGTGAATCGTATAATAAACGAATCAATGAAAATTAGAAATTTAATAAATAAAAATGTATCTCTGAATCCAATTTGAAATAAATTTAAGAAATTCTCTAGCTATAGATATTCTTCACGCGTGGAATGCAAACGCCACGATCAAACCGCCACCCTCCTCGCATATTTTTCGTGTCGCGACAGCGTGGCATTCGCCGCGATTTTCAAAATCATCGTGACGTGCAATATCGCGCGCTTTCCGCACGACACGATGGTATCGATCGGCTTTCGCGTCATCTCTCCTCTTGCGCCTCCGAACCCTTGCACATCGTATCTTCCTCCCCCCTGCCGCCCCCGCAAGATGGCGATTCCACGAAACGCGTACGGTGGGTGACAGTAGGGGGGAAGCCTCGTGAACGCGTGACAGCAACTGTCGCGCCGACGAGGTGTACGCAAGAACCCGCGCGGCGGCGACGTCGGCAGACGAGACGCCGTTGTCGTCGGGCGCTGCGATTATTACACGAGTCGATGATAACGGCAGCATGCTGAAACGCCATGGAAACGTACCTGTTGGGTGCGGCGGACTCGGCAAGGTCCAGAAGGTACACCGCGACATCCTCGTCCGTCGTCAAGCCCAGGCGTTTCTTCAGCGACAGCCAGCGCTTGCCGTTTGTCACACCGATGTGTACACTGCGAAAGTGCTTCGCCGTCGTCGTTGCTGCCGCTTCCGGGATGATAGCTGTCGCCGTAGCTGTCGTCGTAGCTATCGGCGTAGCTGCCGGCGTAGCTGTCGGCGTAGCCGTAGCCGTCGCCGCCGCCGCCGGGTGCGGCGGCTGCTGCTGCTGCTGCTGCTGAGCACTTCTCGTGTTTCCCGACTCTCTCACATGTCGCGTGCCCTTCTTCGGCATAACTACATCGTACAAACTGTTCGGCCGCTATCAAATCGGCTTACGAAAGTGGCCGCGATCGGTAGTAAACGTAGACGTGAATCCGGGTACACGGGCACCCCCGCGAAAGGGCACCTCCGCATGAGGACGCGCACCGATATTATCCT